TTCATCTTCCTGCTGATCACAACTTAATGCGTTTTTATCATATTGTTACTCTTTGATAACACTTGATGCAACGATAATTCAGTGAAGAACTGATATTCTGTGTCCTATTGATAATTCAACGACAGCTGGTTTGCAGTGAATTGCGCATTATTACCAGACGGCTGGTTATTACCACATGGACGTTGCAAACGTTTCTTCACTCGTTGTTCGCATGGACAGCCCAAGCGAACAGACTGCTATATGCTGATAGGAGCTGCGAGTCCGTTCAGCGCAGTTGATCCTCACAGTTTGGTGTTCAACGAACGCACTAAACGGTAACTCGTTCTTACTGCCAACAGTTTTTGAATGTTGTGAGAGCTATATCGATATATTGTCAATTCCGTTTGATTGAGATGATCGTATCTTCATTGATAGCATTGAATTAATCTTCATCTATCAGATGCACTGTGCTGGAACAGTGTGCAGCAATAGGAGAAAGTGATCGAGGCTTTCGTGAAGGAATACCAGTGAGATATGGGCATCAAAAACCTCAGGCTCCAGCGTCAATCACCAGTGAAAACGTGGTTCCTCTCCCGGTTTGTTTTATTGTGAATGGTTCAAAGTATAATCCCATAGAATATATGGTTCTAACAGCTGATGCGTATAATATCTTAGATTATCGTTTTATGTTCTGTTTTAATTGATGTCAGCTTTCAGTGTGAGGCAATTCTTTGTTAAATAGATCCGAGGAAGGAATCAATGCCCTTTCTTCAGGGAAAGTCATCGAACTTCATTGCTTTCTTGAAAGGTACTTGTTGATAAGTTTGAATAGTTTCTCATGCGATTTGCAGACAAAGTGTATGCCTGGACTGAGCTATGCAATTGCTTCATGTAGTGGCACATACAAGCGATGCAACCAACAAGGACTACTGCAATCAGTGTCTTGCCCGCCAGGCTTCCTCTTCCATCCAACCGTCAGAGCTTGTCTTCTTGAAAATGCTGCCTGTCATCAATCCTCAACAACACAGTCATTGTATGATGTTTTCACTTTTATTTTCGTTGATTAATTCTCATTGAAACTTGAATTTATGAAGTCGGTTGATGGTGCATCTTAGAATGTTAGTCGAGAAACGTGACATTCATCGTCGTCTAATCTGTTTCAAATCAGCCAAAGTATATAGCTCGTCACAAGATCAACGTATAAAACATCTTTTGCCACGCCAATTCAAAATTTCCGCCTTGTGACCGTCATCATCGGTCACCGAACATGAGGAGAAATTGGTTTTCTGCAAAATACGATTTTCATCGAGATTCATCTTCTGCAAAACGATCTATTAGCAAAAGTATTGATTGTATTCGTAATCAACGTGGAGCTTGAAGCCAAGTGCACATGAACTAATAATTGCGTTGATTCAGGCGTATGCTCGAAGATGTGGAACGTGACTTGGATGAATCGATAAGTGAAAGAAAACCGGCTGCAGAAATGGATGAAGACGAGCCTAAAAGCGCTCCATCTAAGCGCATCGGCATATTCGAAAGTTCTGCTCCGTTCAAAAGGGTGGCGCCATTCGACAGGAAACCTCCGTTCGCAAAGCGAGAAAAAACTGAAAACGTTGATCGGAACGATGAAACTATCGTTGGAGCAATGAATGAAGTAAAGTCGGACCGTGAATCAGCGGAATATGATGAATTCAGGTAACTACGTTTACAAGCTCAATAGTTCACTAGTGATCGATGATTTGGGAGAATGATATCCAACTCAATATCTGCAAACGTCTCTACACAATTTAATTCATACTGAATGCAAAAACATTGAACTTCGCTAATTTTGTTTTAATGCACACTTCGAACGAAAACATTTGAAGTGATCATTGAGGTGAAATGATAATTCTTTCAGATAATCAAACCATATTATACATATCTTGCTCATCGTTGCACCTCATCGATGTTCCAATCAATTAGTAATGTGTCTGCGGTACTTTCAACAACTGCTTTTCTCTTCGTATTCGTTCATTGTTGCAAAATCCTTTATTGTGTTGCATTGCATTTCTGTTTCTTTGGAGCTAATTTCAGATGTTTTCACATACCCTAACTAGAAAATGAATGCAAACGTGCATACGCTTTGAAATGGCCTCATTCTATCACAGAGACAGGTACGATGCAATAATACAGGCAATTTTCGTGATGATTACAGTGACCTAAATTGAATTTCATATGTGAAATGATTTGCTTGTGAACATTGCAGTTATTTTATCCATGATGCGTTTTGCCGAATGTGCATAACAAGATGTTGTTTTTCATTTTAACTTTTAACTTTTTTGTTCTTTTGCGAAACTTTTCATAATTTATCACTTGATGTTTTTTGTTGTTTTGTCACATTCATGCATAAAATCGTTTTGTTCTCATGCACTTCCTAAAATTGACGACGCACATAGTCTAGACGAAAACTTCGCAAAATATCCGTTGAATAAAGTTCACAAATCATTATTCTTTCATACAGCCAGTAATCATATAATTGAGAAAGATGTGTGAATCCATTCATTATGAAAATATCCCGTCACCAAATCGCATACAAGTGTCACCTCATTTGTAATTATGTAAAATGCTTCTCTAAATGTCTCTTTGCCTCGTCAATATCAACGAACTGTTGAATGAAGAACACGGTTGCATACTTTTATTCGAATTCGAAGAGCCAGGAGAGGGTACGATTCACAGATGATCTGTTTTATCGAAGGCAGGCAGGCCATTCACGGATAATGTTCACAAATGTATTCATTGCAGTGAGATAAGGATAGTTCTCATAACGTTATTATATTTTCTGACGCAAAAGTATTATGGCTTTCATGTGTTCAACACAAATGCAAATTTAGCACAGGGTACAAGAACCACTATTACATGTATTTACATTCATAAAGACCCAGTAAGGACTGTTATCTTGAACAACATTCGTTTGCATTTGCCGATGGTACATTAATATGGTTGTTAATGTGTTTCGCTTTATCGCACCGAAAGCATTGTGTGTAACTAAAAGAGAATCAGTCTGACACCAACATTAACTTATAAATTGTACAGAATGGCTGTTCGATGTAAACGCTGATATGAATGATCGATAGATATTTTTAAGAATTGGCTACAGAAAGTGGGTTAATAAGAATTGGTGCTCAACCACATCTTCATTGCTCACTGTATATTACCGTCCACTAAACGCACTGAATTAAAAAGGCAATCATTAAACATTGAAGTATTTGTGGAATTCGCGATTACGTCGTCAAAATACATCAGATTCATGAGTTCATGGTGCATATCGTTAGATAAAGCACAGTTTTACGTAATAAACCACTAATAGTTTGCCTTTCATCGTACGCAGTGATATGAGATTGTTTTGTTGTTGATAAGGGCTTGACGAGGGATGTTTCTCGTTACTGGAGCATTTTTATTCGAAATGCTTTCACAACCAAAAGCCGCTTTAAAGAATGTGTAAGTGATGCGATTGGTAACTGTGTTCAACACATCACTTCTCATCCGTAACACATTCAATCGTTTCTTCTCAGTGAATTTCTCATCTAATACTGTCATCTTACGAATGTCAAAAAAGCGAAGTCTTCGAAGTATTCTCTTTTCATGGCACAAATAATGAGGATAAGAATTTCAGCTGAACTGGGATGGATACGCGACACATCTATATTTCGTTATTATAAGGAATGTTTTTTTTTTTGATATTCGATTTAAAAGAAGATATCAAATGCATATTGTGCCGAAGTAATATTGACTGCAATATGAACATGTATATAGTCGTCTCATGAAATTCTCTAAACATCCCATATGGCACATGATCATCACTGCATACTCTTATCCCCATTTTGATTCTCTTCTGACACGAGCCAATCCCGCAACCTCACACTGCTTACATCACACCATCTCAATAGCGCTCGTTCTATCAAGAAAGGATGATGGATGTTGTGTTGTGTGCATATAATATTAGCAGTGAACACGTTGTGGATGAGTGACTAGTGCCTATTTGCTATTTGCATTAGGTATGTCTGTGTCGTGCTGCACTCACTCAGGGTTAATGCTTCTTCCTCTCGAGATTTGTTGTTTTGTACATAATTTCAGTGATTGATGATTGTTTGATTCTTAACAGTTCATTCCTCTCCACTCTTTATAACCATTGCTTGCCATCATTAACCAGTATCATTTCACGATCGTTACAAAATCGATTGTGGATAT